TTGGACTCCTCCTTCACAGAAGGGGAGCTCAACCTGTCAGGGTATGAGGGGGCGTGACTAAGTGTGATCTCAGTAGATCTTAAGTGGTTCTGATGTGTTAGGAAATATGAGACGGTGCTTCAAAAAGCCTTTCCAGGTGATGTGGCAAGCAGATTAAACTCTATTCCGTGACAGATATTGAATCCCAGGGAGACTCTTTTTAGAGTTGCTGACCCAGTTTAACCCAGTCAGAACCGGGTAATAATTTCATTATAATCCTGTCTCTGAGCAGATCAAAACCATAGGACCAGTCTAAAAATATCTTAACAGTTAAAACATCTCCACATGTGATTCCCTGCCGGCTGATCTGCTAGCGTGCAAGTAAACTGCACCTAGACTCTGTCACTGGTACATCTTCATCTTTAAATCACTTCTTGGTCTGTTGCCTTCATACATCTCTTCCAACATGTCTCTGCGTGATTGCAGCTACAACGTGCACTCTCAAGACATGATTACCTGCAGTGTTCCTTCAGTGAGGACTGAACTAGACAAAAGAACCTTCTCCTACTCCGCTCCTGTTTCTTGGAATATCTTGCAAAAAGATCTGAAGCTCTCGACCTTGACCTCTCTAAGTGGCTTTAAGCATCTGTTGGACTCCTGGCAAGAACCAATGCAGACATGTTCCTGTTTTTAGTTTTCCGCATTTACCTTATAATCTGGCTGTTTTTTGCTACTTTTGTTGCCATCTTATTTTAATTTGTAAAAAAAAAATAATAATAATCTGTATGCCTCTTTTATGATTGTCTACTGTTGTTGTCCACTGTTGTCATCACTCTGTTGAAATCAGGTCTCTCTTGAAAATGAGTTCTCGAGGCTCAATGGGATTAACCTGTAGAAATAATGGTTGAATGAATTAAAAGTTGGCTTCAAACTATGGAATGGATTTCCTGAACGGAGGCATGTCTCATGAACCAAGAGTAATAAGACCCGCCTCACATTCAGGAACTTCATTTCATAGTTTGCAGCAGCTACAACGTGAGGGCTGAGCAGCAGCTAACAGCTAACCAACTTTTCATGGTAACATGTCCGCTGTGTTGAAGTATTTTACACTAAACACCACAAGACAGCAACGTGCAATATCTGCAGAGCTGCTGTACTGAGAGGGGGAAGCTTGGTCGCGACCTACAATACATCGAACTTAAACATTTGAGAAAAAAAAACACATTAAAGAGCATGAGGATTGTTTAGCCAGGCACCACGGTTAAGTTAGTTTTACGTTGGACGTTCGAGCTTTGTGGCTTCAGCGGTGTGTTCCTCTCATTCAGTCCGAAGCAGACAGTCTGGTTTCAGTCAGCCGCCCTCAGTCTGCCCGTCTGGAGGAGCTGACTGAAATCAGACTGCTTCACAGCTGGACTGAATATTTGCAGCCAAGATCTAGTTTACATTTACCCTCCAGGAGATATTTATCATTACAACAGTAGACAATCATAAAAAAACATATAAATTGAAAAACAAAAGAAAATTATATTTTAAAAAACAAACAAAAACAGCTACATTATAAAGTGATGTAAATAACTAAAAGCAGAAACATGTCTGTGCTGGTTTTTGCCATGAACTTAGCAGATGTTTGAAGCCAGTTAATCACTTTAATATCCACTTTAAAGCTAGGAATAAAAAACATGTTTTGTGTTAGCAGGATTTAATTCTAACTTTGAAACTTATTCAACATTAATAAAACTTAACCTCAAGTTGCCTTTTTAGACATGCATGCTTATATGTGTACAAACTGTACTTGCCTATAGAGATATTACAGCCTCAAATAAAATCAATAATGATGATGATATCTGAATAGTATCAGTATTGGCTGATATCCAGATTTAGGTTTCGGGATCGGATCGGAAGTAAAAAAAATAAAGTGGATCGTGCATCCCTATTAGAAATAGGGCAAAGATTATTGAAAATATTTGGATCCAATCCAGGCTTCTTAAGGATCGGAGTGACAACTGCCGTTTTGAAAATAGTTAGGACAGTTCCTGAAGAAAGAGGAGTGAATAATGGCAGAAATGATATGGAGAAGTGAAAAAAGGCAAGATTTTACAAGCACTGTTGGGAGAGGATCCAATGAACACGTGGAGGGCTTGGATTTCAGGATGAGTTTGGCTATTTCGGAGGCTAGAATTCCCGAATCTTGTTCCGGCAGGATCCAACTCAGATAAAACACTGCCTGAATGATGTATTTTTAAACTATAAAAATCTTCAAGAATTTTTGTTGAAGATCAGTTCCTCCAAATCCGAGGCCATGGTCTTGAGTCAGAAAAGGGTAGAGTGCCCTCTCCGGATTGGGGAGGAGGTCCTGCTGATCCTGAGATTGATAGCTGGATAGGTGCAGTGAAGCGGGCGCTGTACCGGTCTATCGTGGTGAAGAGAGAGCTGAGTCAAAAGGCGAAGCTCTCAATTTACCAGTCGATCTACGTTCCTACCCTCATCTATGATCATGAGCTTTGGGTTGTGACCGAAAGATTGAGATCATGGATACAAGCGGTCGAAATGAGTTTTCTCCGCAGGGTGTCTGGGCTCTCCCTTAGAGACAGGGTGAGAAGCTCGATCATCCGGGAGAGACTTAGAGTAGAGCCGCTGCTTCTCCACGTCGAGAGGAGCCAGTTGAGGTGGCTCGGGCATCTGTTTAGGATGCCTCCTTGACGCCTCCCTGGTGAGGTGTTCCAGACACGTCCCACCGGGAGGAGACCCAGAGGAAGACCCAGGACACGCTGAAGGGGCTATGTTTCTCGGCTGGCCTGGGAACGCCTCGGGATTCCCCCGGAGGAGCAGGACCAAGTGGCTGGGGAGAGGGAAGTCTGGGCCTCCCTACTTAAGCTGCTACCCCCACGACCCGACCCCGCATAAGTGGAAGAGAATGGATGAATGGATGGATTTTTTTTTTGTGTAAAAACTGAAGTGTAATGCAGTTGCAATCAGAAAAAATACTGCCTTATTCATTACTGCGGTGCATTTAATTCAAAAACAGTGGAAAGGAAAAACTCCCTTTTTAAAAGGAAGAAACCTCCAGCAGAACAAGGCTCAGGACAAGCGGCCATCTGCTTTGACCAACTGGATTGAGAGGACAGGAAGGAGCGACAGACGAACATAGAATGGTAGGTCCAGATATAGGTCCAGGTCCAGATATAGGTCCAGGTCCAGATACAGGTGCAGGTGAACCTGAAAGACAAAAACACATGTTGAGGATTGAAAAAATAATTACAGATACAAAACAGGTTGAGCAGAGTAAGTAAAGACAGTAGCAGAGTGAAAAGTGTGGTCAGTTTGTCCTCCAGCAGTCTAAGCCTATAGCAGCATAACTAAGATATAGCTCTGGAAACCCAAGCCGACCCTAACTATAGGATTTAGCAAAAAGGAAAGTCTTAAGTCCAGTCTTTAAACTGGACAATGTGTCAGCCTCACAGACAGAAACTGGAAGTTGGTTCCACAAGAGAGGAGCCTGAGACTCTACTTCCTCAGGCGGCTGAGACGAGCTGGTCTGGGAAGCTCAGTCCTCACCTCCTTCTACAGGTGTGCAGTGGAGAGCATCCTGTGCTCCAGCATCAACGTGTGGCATGGAGGCTGCACAGCTGCAGAAAGAAAAGCTTTGCAGAGAGTGGTGAAGGCTGCACAGAAGATGTTGGAGTCAGCCTCCCCACCATCACAGACATCTACACCTCCAGATGCAGGAAGAGGGCCACCTGCATCATGAAGGACCACACTCACCCAGCACACACACTTTTTGCACCGCTCCACTCAGGAAGGAGTTTTAAAAAATTTTTATTTACATTTTATACTTATATTGGATGTAACTGGGACCCTGTGTACACAATTTTGTTCCACCTCATGTACCACATGTGCTGCAAATGACAAATAAAGAAACGTTGACTCTCTGACTCTGATAACTGAAAGAGCTTCCCCCCATTCTGTTTTTGTAAATTCTAGGAACCACAAGTAAACCTGCAGTCTGAGAGCAAAGTGCTCTGTAGGAAAATATGGAACAATAAGATCTGTAATATAAGATGGAGCTAGGATGTTGAGAGCTTTGTAGGTTAGAAGTAAGATTTCTATACTGGACAAAAAAGTTAAATCTTCGGGCGCTCAACATTGTAGTTTACCAGACTGAAAGAATTTGCCATGGCAGCTTGGTACCATACTGCACGGCAGACTTTCAGAGACCTAAAAACTTTCCTGTCTCGCCACATTAGAGGCATGAAAATGATCCTTATTACACAGGCAGTCATAATGTTTTGTCTGGTCATAGGTTAATAATGAACAGAATGGCAGATTTTGCAGTTGTCCCAAACGTTAGAGAGCTGCAACATTTCATTGTTTTAATTTATTAGTTTTATTATTTTTGCCTAATTTTCTCCTGCTTGGGTTTAACTGAAAAAATCAGTAAGTAAACGTATCGTCATGGGAATGAATGGAGAACATGAGGTAATATATAAGGTAAAAACAGAGAGCTTTAAGAAAACCTTAGCATTGCTTCTTGTCAGCTTTGTAAAGAGGCCACAGTTTCCTAACATGCATAGTTTAACAAAGTGGAAACAAAGAGTCCGATAAAGCAGCAGTAAGTGCTAAATTTCCTTTTGCACATCTCGTATAGCAGAAAAAAAAATGCATGCTTCATTATCTCTCTGCAGTTAGTTAATGAAATATGCAGATGAGACCAACATTACATGCATGGGTTATTGAACACTTGTTCTTTATTCTGATTAATAATGTGCTATGCTGTTGTACATGTTCATTTGACTGCAGTTTCCACAGACACAATATAGTAAAATTTGTGAAACTTTTAGAAGTGTCTGTGTATCTGAATATTAAACAGTTTTCTCCCCTAATAAATACAAAGTAAGACAAAGAATAACGTACATGTCTTCTGCTTATTACATCCTTAATAGAAAGTGTGTGAGGCAACTTTGTGCTTGTTCCAGGCTCGTCTGTCTGATATATACATAATGTTCTTGTTTTCTCACTCTAAGGCATCACCACAGTCCTGACCATGACAACACTCAGTATCAGTGCTCGCCACTCACTCCCCAAGGTCTCGTACGCAACTGCGATGGATTGGTTCATCGCCGTCTGCTTTGCCTTTGTCTTCTCTGCCCTCATTGAGTTTGCTGCTGTCAACTACTTCACCAACGCACAGATTGAGCGGGCCAAAATGAAGCCAGCCAAATGTCCCCCTGTGCCCCAAACCACGCCTGTCAAGGTGAAGGACGCTGAAGATGTGCTTCAGGTGAGGATTTTTTAACCCCCAAAGTGCCTCTATAATCTGATGACACTGTAAAGAGCACTAACTCCAGGCGTCATTCATGGACTGTATCTGGCCTTTATACTGTTGCTACAGAAATGTTCTGGGAGGTGCACATTTTTTTTTAACTACGTCTTCAGCTTGTTGTGTAGCTGCCTTCATGTTTATGTCTAGTGTCACATGACTGACAGCACATGTGTATTAATGTGGAAGAATAAATGAGATGAGAGGGAAAAAGGAAACACAATATTAGAAAATATTTGGCATATTACAGTATCTAGAATTGTTGTAAGAGAATAAGTGAACAGTTAAATGCAGCAAACGTGAAAAACATGGTAATTTATTAAAATTTAAATAACACACAGATTCATGATTACAGTTTTTAGTTCAGTTTTTGCCCAGCTGTGATCAAGTTTCTTATACAAGGAAAAATACAAATAAAAAATCCATTACTTTTCCCAGTTTTGATTGGAGAGTTTAAGTGTCGGAGAAAAAAAAAATCCACAAATTCCATGAAGTGAGAGGCACACATGCTAAAAGTAAATAAAAAGAGTCTACAAAAAATAATGTGTAAACTGTATAAGAAATATAAAAGACTGTGAGAGTACGAATTTGTTTGCAAATAGTTTGAAAAGTTTAGACATACAAGAAATTAGTGTGTGTGACATCCTTCCACTAAGTTGAACAATATGTGGTAAAAGCTTAAAAATTCACAAAACATTAAATCTGTAATAGTTTCAAAACAATAAAAATATGAAAATTTCTATTCAGTTATATAACATCCATTTTATGCAACCTGTTTATATGTAACCTGGTTTTCTCACACTCATTTTACCAAATTAACATTAATGCGAAAATGAAAATCTTACATTTTTTGGCAAATTTCATTGACACGGTACAATGTACTATAATCAAAATAAACAAAACTCTATTCTCAATCAAGATGCATGTCGATGTATTTTTGCACAAGATTTTCCAAAAGTGCAGGAGGACTCAACACCCTAATTTTTGAACAACTGGGGCATTTTTCAACATATAAAGAAAAACAAATTGCAATAATTTGGAAATCTCAAAACCCACGTGTTATTCACAATGAAAAATATGTGCAAGAGTGTCAACTCTTGAAACTGTGCCTGCAGTCAACCTACTTCACATATGGGGAGCAATATTATAGGCAGAAACATGGGTGTGCTATGGGGTCTCCAGTTTATCCTATTGTTGCCAACCTGTACATGGAGGAGGTAGAAAAGAGAGCCTTGACGTCCTTTTCAGGGACACCACCAAGTCATTGGTTCAGGTATGTTGACGACACCTGGGTTAAAATTAAATCTCAGGAAGTCCAACATTTTACTGACCACATCAACTCTGTGGATAAATATATCAAGTTCACACAAGAAGATGTAAAAAATGGCAGGTTGGCTTTCTTGGACTGTGAGGTCTCAGTCTCTGATAGAGGACATTTGCAAACTGAGGTGTACCGCAAACCCACCCACACAGACCAGTATTTGCAGTTTGACTCCCATCACCCTTTGGAGCACAAGTTAGGAGTCATCAGGACTCTGTATCACAGAGCAGACAGCGTCCCCACTAGCTCAGGAGCCAGGCAGAAGGAGAAATCCCACACAAGACAGGCTCTAGAGCAATGTGGATATCCTAACTGGGCCTTCCTGAAAGCAGAGAAGAAACCCAAACAGGACTCCAGTCAGCCATCAGGTGAAAAGGAGGAACCCAGACCCAGACCAGTGGTCATTCCATATGTTGAGGGAGTATCAGAGAAACTGAGACGTTTATTTTCTAAAGACAACGTCCCAGTGGCTTTTAAACCCCAAAATACATTAAAGACTGGTTCATCCCAAAGATCCAGTCCCCTGGCACAAACAGAGTAATATTGTGTATGCTGTTCAGTGTCAGGAGGGTGATCAGTCTTACATCGGGGAAACTAAACAGCCACAGGCCAAAAGGATGGCCCAGCACATAAGATCACCATCATCAAGCCAGGACTCTGCGGTCTACACTCATCTCCAGGTCAGAGGTCACTCTTTCAGGGATGAAGATGTTCACATCCTGGACAGAGAGGAACGATGGTTTGAGAGAGGAGTAAAGGAGGCCATCTTTGTGAAAAGAAATCGTCCATCATTAAACAGGGGTGGAGGCCTCTGGGTTCAACTGTCCCCCTCTTACAATGCTGTGATTGCTAGTATCACTCAGCCCTCTGTGAACAGTAAACAGCCATCAGGTGCTAATGATCCATTGTTAGGCTGATGGTCCTTCTTGAGCATGTGATCAGCTGGTTTTGGTTGTCAGCAGCAAAACTGGTTGATCCACTCTGAGAAGGTGCTATTTAAGAGACCGAGCTGAATACAGCACCTCAGACTGAAGAAGTCTCTTGGATGAGAGACGAAACGTTTCTACATTTTTTTTGTTGTTTTGCTTTGTTTTGTTTTTTGAATGTCCTGTTGGGTCAGTGGGGGAGCTGACTCCCTGTGGGAGCATTTGCTCTCACAGTTATTTCTCCCCATCCCTCACCATGCACCTCCACCCTCTTCATTTCAATTCCATACATTTAGGGTTGTTTGGGCTCGGGTGTGCTGCAACAATTTTACATCTTTGTTGACCATAGCCACCTGGGACTCAATTTTATTGTACACCTTAGACATTCATTCATAACATCCTCATGACATTCACATATAGGAACTTGAGGTGGGCACATGGCTATGGGTGGTGGGATGACCTTACTCTCACCCCCTGTGCCTGTGCTCACTTACAACGGTTGCATTTAGACACTAGGGTTTGGATAGAGTTGGGGTGGAGGGGAAACTGGCATCATGCCAGCCTTTGCTCCTTCTTCTTTCCTTTTTAATGGCACTATACAACAACAACACACATCAACAGCACATCTAGGGGCGGGGGTGTATGTGTCGGGTGTCTGCCTGGTGGGGCTCGGGTCCTCTGGCCCTGTCGGGCCTTGGCCTGGGTGGTGTGAGTCCTCGGTGCCCGGACCTGGACCTACATTGGTGCGGCGGGTTCCGACGGAGGCCTATGAGTTTGTCGCTGTTGGTCCCGGGGGTCACTGTATGTGGTCGCTGGTGGGGATCTTCCGGTTCTCCCCTGTGGTCCGTTCTGGGGGGTGGGTGAGTGGTTCGTACTGTGTGGGTGGCCCTGGGGGCTCCACGGTCGGGGTCCCTCCTGGGGTCTTGGGCTCTGGTCCCCCCTTTTTCGTCTGCCTCTGGTCTTGGGGGTCGGGTCTCTGCTGCTTCACAGTTACTATTAAATGTTCTATTAGAGAAGCCTTATACACTTATGCATGCTCACAACCACACACAAATAGATGCAGGGATGCTTATGTAGGCTTTATATGTAGATATATAGATATGTATATGAATGTATATTCATGTGTATGTATGTATGTATATAGGCATAGGTATGGGTATATATATTTATGGAAACTTACTGCAAAGCCATGAATATTTTAAGTTCTTTATACATATGTATTTTGTTGCTGTGTTTTGTCATGTTCTTTGCAGGTGAACAGACAGTGGCCGGGTGTTTTGCCGTGTGCTCTCTTTGTGTATATTTCTTATATTTTGGAGTCTTACTTTGTCTTTTCTTTCTTTCTATCCTATTAAAAAAATATATATAAAAAAAACCTACACTAGATAGTCACTAGAATAAATATTTAATAATAATGGTGTGGAGAGGATGGCTGTAAGGGGAGAAGGGAGGCCATCTAAAAAAAAAAAAAAAAAAAAAAAATTTGAAGAATGTGAAGATGATGTGCAGGAAAAGTGTTGCAACTGTGGTGGTCAACACAGGTGACATCTAGGGAATGTGGTCAGGAAAAGGGCGGTGGAAATCCAACAGATTAAAACAGTTACTAATGTAAGCTATGCAGAGGCAGTAAAGACGGTGCAAAGAAAGAATGAAGATTTGAGAACTCCCCATAAACCAGCATCGGAGATGAGTCAAAAAGAAGGCAGTGATTCAAGACTGATAGTGGACAATCTGATTTTGTTCATCGCTTATGTGATCAATTGCACTGATCAGGTCAAACATAAAACAGAAAAAATAAAAATAATTGTAAGTAAGAGGAGCAGAGAAATTCTTGGGAATGAAAGATCTTTCATGGGAAAAAGTTACTAAAAAACTGGAGGCAGATGGGAAGTCAGGTGAACCAAATGATAGGACAAACTGATTATTTTACAATGGAATACAAGAAGTCTTATCAAATGGACAGGAATTCAAAGGATTTGTTAAAGAGCTTAAAGAGAAACCAGATATTATTTGTGTTCAGGAAACATGGCTGAAACCCACACTGGATTTTGTTATAAAAGGTTATGTTAGCTTACGGAGAGACAGGGAAGAGGGAAATGGAGGGGGATGTATAACATTTATTAAAGAAGGAATACAATACAGATTAATACAGATAGGTATTGATTTGGAATATATAGTAGCTGAAATATGGACTGAAGATGGGAAAATAAAAATAGTAAATTTTTACAACCCATGCAAAAAGCTTTATGTGGAATCATTAAACATGATTAATTCAGACTTGGATGATAAGGTTATTTGTTGCGGGGATTTTAATGCACATAATACACTATGGGGTAATTATGATGATGAAAATGGAAGGGTGATTGAAGAAATTATGGACAATAAAAATTTAGTATGTCTTAACGATGGACATGGAACAAGACTGAATATTAGAAATGGTTCAGAATCAGCTATAGAGCTCACCATAGTTTCTGACACATTAGCAGCTAAATGTACATGGCAGATTATTTCAGACACAACAGTAGGAAGTGATCATTATCCAATAGTCACAACAATAAATTTTACATTGAGAAACTGTGAAAGAGTAGGAATACAAAGATGGTTATTTAATAAAGCTAAATGGGATATGTTTAAACATATTAGTGATCAAAAAATGAGTAAAATTAATATTAATCAAAATATTGACAATTTAAATAGTTGCATTTGTGAAGCAA